CTGGCTTTTTCTTGAAATCATAGCTCATGATTTAAACACTCGATGATTTCATAACCAGTTCCCTGTGGTGTTGTGCGATAGTTGACCTACACTTTGCCTCATAATGCGAAAGTAGATGCTTGAGAGGAGAATAATCAATTCAGAGAGAGGAGAGAATAAGCTAACAAACCAAACGAATAGTAGTTTGAACTCAATTTGTAATGTAATATTCTGCAGGTCAGCTACAAAGGATCCAAAACTTTAGGCGAAATTGCAGCTTCAAAATGCCCGAGCTTTGTCACACTAGCTATTCTGTTCGAGTCTAAGAGAAGTTATCTTTTGCAAACAAAATGCAGAAGCAACTACAACTCCGCTTGCGTTTTACCGGACACCATGAAATATGCATGTACTTGCGCATAAGTATTGCCTAAACCTAAAAAAAGTCTGCTCATGAAAATGTTTTTTGTAAAGTATCATGCATACACTTTTCTAGTGGCAGATATTGCACACCCATAAGTTGTTATTGTGGCACAGCAAAACCAGGTGTTTGTGATCATAACGTTTTCCCCCGGGCAGGTGATATTTGCTTACAAAGCCTGTGTCGCGAGAGTCGTTAAAATTGGTCTTACCGTGAGAGTCCACAGTGAAGGGAACCATATCACCAGCAAGAAGGGAGTAGCCGCACTGATAATCCACAAGAGCGATTGGTGGGGCATAGGTTTCGTGCATCACGGTGACCTTACCGCAAATGGCACCCACGTTACTATAGGTCACCGCTGAGAAGTTGTAGATGCTCTCTGTAAAACGCAACTCCTCTTCTGCGTGGATGTTCACATTCACCAAAATCCTAGGATTTGGCAGAAAAAAAGACTATTAGCGCCTTTATAACTTACTTTCTTTTTCGGACTCGGAGAGTAATATTAGTAACCAAACCCTTAAAGACCTTTTCATCCAAAGTAATTTTGGCAACGATAGAACGGCCCAGCAATTTCAACCACCAAGTTACTTTAATAAAAAGGCCAACGAATCAAGATTGAGCGACAGAAACAATCGTCTACACGGTTTAATAGTGAAATAGCATAAATAATATTCAAAAAGATGATAAGCTTGCTCATTATGAGGGCTCTGCGTCACACTAGAGAGCAAACTGCTCGCAACCAATGAGCAGAGTGCAAACCTTTACTAGCCGATCAGGCAGATTAGTGAGCATTATCGATGAGTCACATCCTAATGAAGTAGACATGACTTGTATACCGACAAGTTCCACTTGGACAATACAGAAGCCC